TAGATTAGAATTTGATCATAGATTGAAGAGAAAATCGAATTACAGGATATATCGATTTGTCTGTCCGATCTATAATTGCAGATTAAAATATGATATGGGTCTTCACATATGCACATATATAATACACGCCCAATTTATTTCTAGTAATTCCATTTACAATTCGCAATTTTTGAACAGCTCGTAATTCACAGTATCTTTATCTGGCCGAACAACCATAAACACGATTTCCCTATCAAGCCGTAAATTCATAGCCCCATCAATGCATTTTACACATACTTTCGAAAAGAAATGAAATAGAAAAAATCTAAGAAAAACCTGAACATTTCTTCGATCGACCATTAATTTGTCTGAAAATCCAAATATTTTCATAGCTGTGTAAAATGGCAAGAAAAAGCCCGAAACGAAACCTAATTTCTGTGTGTTGGCGGCGACATAAAATGTAAATGCGAACGAGCGAAAAACAATTTTCCAAATCTGAAATCTCAAATCACATCACGCCCTATAAATGCTTCAGATCGCGCCTCCAGTCTCCAGGTCTCTGGCAGACTCTCGCTGTCTGCTGAGTTGCTGTCTCATTTATGGCGAAAATCAAATGATTTTCCGCACTGGCCATATATTAAATCGAATGGCAACATATTAAAAACAGTTTCTCAGAATTCCCAAAAATTCGATTCGTGACTAACTAAATCAAAAAAAGAAAAGAAAATCAAAATTAAAAGTGTCTGACGTCCATAGCCGAATGATACTTCAGATTTGCGCAGGTTTTGCTCTATAATTTCTTCCCTGAGTTTTTTTTTGCCCTCTGTATTTTTTTTTTTGTACAGATCAGACAACGCGGCGACATTTGAGTTTATTTTTTCCGTGTGGGCGTCGATGTGGGCGCGGGCGTGGCACACCATTCGAGGGCTGTAAAACAAAGCGATTTTCTATGTTAAAAATTCGAACCAATCAACAACAAAATGGCACATAAAAAGCTAAAAGCAAACATGTTCACATCAAAAGTCTCTTATAAATCATAAACAAAAATTATGAATATGTATACATATATAGAAATATCTGGATACCGTACCTATATATATATTTTCCCACTTCTGTTACTCT